ATTTTCTTTCTTTGCAGAAAAAATCAAGGATCTATTTCCCAAAGGTTCTCTTGACAGATCCACCGCTCTGGTGCTGGTGAACGCAATCTATTTCAAAGGGCAGTGGCACCAGAAATTTAAGGAAGAAAACACGGTGGAGGAAAAATTTTGGCTGAACAAGGTATTGTCTATACTTTACTTACATAATGTAACCTAACTACGAGGAATGTGAAATTTAAATGCATAATGATTAATGGGCAACTGCAGTAGAAAATAGAATGTGTCAAGGTTCTATTTTCTTATCTTTTTTTTCTTTATTTACTTGGGAATCTTTGAAGAAACTCTTGTCTAACTTACAGATTCCCCAGACCATCCCATAGAAGGAGGATGAGTTTGGTATCTCAAAAATATTATCCGTTTTTGTGACTTGTGGTCATTTGCCATTTGTTTGCCACATTAATTTCTTGCAGAATAGAAGCAAATCTGTGCAGATGATGAAAGAAATGAACACCTTCAATTTCACCTCCTTGGAGGACATGCAAGTCAAGATCCTGGAAATACCGTACAAAGGCACGGAGCTAAGCATGATGCTGCTGCTGCCCAATGCAGTAGATGGTCTGCAGAAGGTAAAGCCGTGCACCTCCAAGTCTTCCTACTGTTGCTTTGATTCCTAGCTATACAAACAAAACAGGCTGTTCATACATTGGTGGTGCAGGCTGGCAGAGACCCAGCACATAACAAAGAAATTTCTCAAGAATCACAGTCTGCTAGGGAGAATATATAGAAAATCTGTCCATCACAGGTTGCATTAATATTCTGATGAACCTATGGAATGTCATTTCACAAAACTATATTCCTAGCTCTACATCTTCCTATTTTGCAACTCTAACATCCTGCAGTATATTCCAGTCCACTCATTGGAAGACAAGAAAATTAACACTCAGATGTAGGAGACACACGGAGGTATTTGCCAGTTCACTCACAAACAAAACAAAGAAATTAAAACAGTCAAGTTTACATATTGCATATGGAATCAGTGGTTTTGTAGACTGTGGGCCAATAGATTTATCTTCATGCCCACATTTCCATGTGGAAGTATTCTGTCCCTAGGAGCTCAGAAGCCATGCTGACCTTCATTGCTCGCAGTATTTGAAAAAGGAGGAACTATAGAATTTTCTTCTTAGCATTGCTTTAACATAGTTAATATGTAAAAATATGCAAAACAGTATCTGACATGAAAGGACATTCTGTAAATGGCGGTCTGCCATTACTATTAAAGCTGCTGCTGACGCTGACGTGGCAGTGAGATTGCCACACTCAGAGTTTGTACAGAGTGACACTGGCAACCGGAAGTCCTTGGGGAAAATCCTGTGGCAATAAATGTGAACAAACATCAGAGTACTCTTGCTCCAGCTCTGCGGTCCCCATTATCTTGGATCCAGGGAACCCCAGTTCTGGGATTTTAGCCTATGGCAACAAGTCTAAACAAGGCAAATGCTCTTGGACAGAAGTGGCTCAAAATAATGAAAAATTTTTAACAAGGAACAATGGTACATGTTTGTGTTCCCAGTAGTTTAGTTTAGGGATTGACACGCAGTGAAGGTATATTCACACAGATGTTCATTAAATAAAGATAGATACACTGAGTATCAATTTAATGGTAGTATTATGCAACAATTTAAACTTGATTACAGAAATATATATCTCTATGGGAAAAGTTTAGGAGTAAGTCAAGCAAGGGAAAAGAATACAAGTAGGATGTATGCTATGAATGTGCAATGTAAAAATTTATGAAGGAAAGACATTAACAAGAGAAGACTGAAAATGAGGCGTGCCACACATACGGAGCGTGAGAATTGAACAGTTCATCTTTTACAAAGTAATCTTATTTAATGATTCTGTTGTTCCATGTATGTATGTGTATATAAATTTATACATATATACATTTTAAAGGTATGTATATATGCTAGTATAATTTTGTGTACATATATAGCAAAAAATAGCAATGTCATGACTATATAAGAACATTTACTGAATTATATAATATATATTCAGGACTCTCTTCCTTTTGACTCCTTGGATTAAATCTAATCACTTCAATCTCCTGTACTTACACTTACTGTTAAGATAAAGGTTCCCCACACGTTACAATCCAGTGTTAAGCTGGGCTCCATGTCCTTGTTTTCCATCCTTACAGCTGGAAGATAAACTCACTGCTGAGAAATTATTAGAGTGGACAAGCTCACAGAATATGAGGCAGAGTGAAGTGGATTTACACTTACCTCGGTTCAAAGTGGAAGAGAGCTATGACCTCAAGGACATACTGGAAGCCCTGGGGGTGGTGGACGCCTTCAGTTCACGGGATGCCGACCTCTCAGGCATGACCGGGGAACACAGCCTGGTGGTGACTAAAGCCGTGCACAAATCCTTTGTGGAGGTGAATGAGGAGGGCACGGAGGCCGCAGCGGCCACAGG